TCAAACCACCCTCCATCTATAATTAAGCATATACCCACATCAATAGGGAAAAGTATCAGCATGGACTCCGCTAATAAGGAAATATTCCAACAACACAGTAATTTCTATAACACAGTCCTAAAAAATAGCGGATACAAAAACGCTAACATGAATTCTATAAACAATAGTAGTAACCAGAAGAAAAAAAAGGAAAAGGTAAATCATTTGGTATACCCCTCCCTTCAAGTTCCTAGCTTTAATTGAAAAACACTTTCCGACTAATAACAGACTTAGCAAGATCTTTAATAAAAACACCTTAAAATTAAGTTACAGTTGCACTGAAAATCTAGAAAGAATCATAAAAAAAACATAATAATAAAATCCTGGAAAAACACGTATGCCAAAACAGTATTAATAAAAATCCTAAACTAAAATTAAACAAAAATAATGAAAAATTATGTGATTGTAGAAACCTTGAAGACTGTCCGTTGGAAAATAAATGCCGCACAAAATCTGTGGTATACCAATGCACTATCTCATCCATTGAGAGTCCTAACACTGATAGGATATACATTGGTTCAACGAAGAATGAATTTAAAATTAGATGGAGACAACACAAAAGCTCCTTCAAAAATATTAGAAAGAGAAATCAGACATCTCTATCCAAATATTTTTGGCATTTAAAAGAAATGAATAAAACACCAAAAGTAAAATGGAAAATAATGAATAGAACAAGAACTTGTAAAACCTGGGGTGACCCATGCCCTTTATGCCTACATGAAAAACTACACATTATTAAGTTTCTAAATAATGAAAATTTATTAAACCATAGACATGAGTTAACGGTTTTCTGCCGACATCAAAAAATTTTCGCATTAAATAATTAGCATGAAAAAAAAAGAAAAAATTATATTTCGTAGTCTAATAAAAGATTTAAAAGCTTAACCCAATCACAAGATAGAAAAACCCTTTATGAAGTCGTAAAAAAAAAACAATTGTAGTTCAGTGCGACGCATTTAAGTACGAAACAGTCCTTTAGAAAATAAATAAATAAATAAATAAAAGGATAAATAAATAAATAAATAAAATAAAACAAAATTCTCTTAACGACATATTATGGTGCCAAAAGTAATCTTTCGCTGTGACTGACCAAGCGATGTACGCACATGAATGCCAACATTCGCTTTGAAATGGATGACCTTAGCTTGACCTCTTTCCGAAGGGCACTGATATGTGGATAAAAATTATCTCTTACCAAAATGGTCGCCCCAGCCGTTTCCATAGTAATTAATTTTGCAAATGAATATGCTTATAAAGATGCGTAAATTTCAAGATTGGTTATTCCTAAATTTGCGCTTGAGGATGAAACAGGGATTGATACTTTAACTCAATTTAATTTTAATGATTATATTGAGGTTTTCCGCTCTCGTTTTTGAAACATGAGAACTCTTATGTAGCAAAGGAAATTGAATTTTGCATAGCATTTGAAATCATGTTTATTTTTTCTGAGAAGAAATGTTCTTCTACAGGTAATAATCTTTCGTGGGGAGCCGACTTGATACGATAATTAATAATTCTGTAGGGAAAGGGCCATTTAGATTTTCCCACATATAGTGTGCATTCTATATATCATAATACTTATAAGTATTAGATCATTGCAAACTTCGTGCCTGATAAGAATTTTTTTTTTATTTTGTTTAGCGGCTTATTAACCTGTATGAGTTATTTAATGCCGAAATCTAAATATTTGTAACGGAATTGTATCCCTTCAACTTCTGCAAAAATAGATTGCTTTAAAAATGCTATGCTGGTAATTTTACTCTAAATATGTACTGTTGGTAATTTTTTTTATATATAAAAATGTATTGCTGGTACTTTTACTATAAAAATTGTATTTTTATATTTTCATAGTTTTGTTTTGTTTTTCTTTGGGATTCACTGTTTGTTCATAGCTGGGATCATGGCTGGGATCTCGGCTCATGGTGAAAAACAGCAATTAAAAGGCCTTGCTCCCGGACCTGACGAGAAAATTAAAAACAAAATTTTACATACTCACAAAAAGCATTTATTAGTCAACTACATCGTATCCAAATTTTATATGAATTTCTAGGATAAGGATTTATTATTATTTACACTATTTATATTCAAACTATTGTCCTCACCATTCCTGCTTTTATCCCAACGTTTCGGACGTTATGTTCTCCGGCCTTCCTCAGGTGTATATCGATCTTTATAATCTAAAGGGAACTCAGAACTGAACCCTTTATTCGTGTTATTTAGTACCGTTCAGTTATTGTTTGCCCGTTTCAGAGTACAAGTATAATCTGCCCGACCCAGGGATTGAACTCACAACCACTGTCACCAAATTCAGAAACTATCACATGTTCCCATACAACAGTCTCCTATCGTCCTACAAGCCATTTTCATAGAAATTTAGTGTTTTTGTTGCAAGAAGTCTGGAATGAAGCGGAGATCCAACAAACTTTCAAGGCATCGACCTTATTGAGAGTGCAGCCGCTAATTGTAGCTGGTAAAAATCAGGATCCGACTGTTAATGTTGAAACAATACAAGGTTAGTTTTTGATTTATTGAAAGTAATAAGCCAGTTATTTCCTCACTGAGCTGTTAGATCTTGATCAGTGATCAAATCTGCCGTAAGCCTCTGATGATCTTGATTTTGGGCCATGCGTTTATAAAAGGTGCTATCATCTAAAATATATCGTAATAAGTCTGTTGGTTTGCCGCTGGGCTCATGCACATGTTGTCCCTCTCCGGCTAGTTCATTTGAAAGGACGGGGCTTAATATGTTGTTTTGGACCCAACTTCTAACAAGTACCCGAATTTCAATATTGTTCCTCCCGTGTACAAAATGCTTCAATAAAGACGAGGCGTGCATTACATCGCTGGTGATCCGAAGTGTCCTCTGTCTTGGCTAAAAAATTATTCGCGTTATGACTAATTGTTCCTCTCGAATGCATCTGCTGCGCTGATATGGAGGAAGAAATTGAGCCCACCTCCTCTCACTATGCAGTTACATGCCTGCTATACAAGTTTATTGAACACTATACGGTTCATTTGCTCTAGAGGCATATTTTTTTGCCTTGGGAACCTGTGCGGTTTCTAGCGATCTAGGCCTGTTGATTTATATGAAAAACACGACGTAATTCTGTGCTTAGTAGCCCTAATGCGAATGGGGACTTAGATGCTGCTACTGAAGGTAGTCAGT